AATAATAACATGCATATGGACTTTTCTTTATGACTATTAAATGATGTTCTTGTCCAGATTTTGCAAATCCAAGGATATTAAACTAGAAGAAGATTCAGCATTTTCATAAATATATTAATAATATAAATATGCAAGAAAAGAAGAAGAATTTACTTTTAAATTCAAAATCAATTGATATTTTATATGATTACCCTTTTCTTTTTCAGTCATAATAGGAATTCATTTAAATTGTTGAACTCGTCTGTATTTTTCTATAAAATATTCAAATTATTAAAAAATTCAGTTAAAAATAGATAAAGTTATTATCAACTAAAATTATAGACCTATTATTAAAATCTTATAAATAAAATAGTCTCAAATATTTCATTTCATAAACATATTATAAGTTATTTTGGACATTATTGTTATTAAATTTATGATAAATGAATTTTCGTATGTTAATAGATGGACAGATCGAGAATAGGAGCAGTGGTGGGAGCAGGAGTGGGAGGCTACACAATCTTCTCCACCAAGATGGAGAAAATGATCAAAAGAGGATATCATAGGCTGTGCCCATTCTTTGTCCCCTGTCCTATCACAAACATGGGATCCGCCTTGCTCGCTATTGATAATGGACTGATGGGCCCCAGCTATTCAATATCTACTGCATGTGCTACAGCCAATTGCTGCTTCTTCGCCGCCGCTAATCACATAAGAAAGGGCGACGCTGATGTAATGATCGCCGGCGGTACGGAGGCGCCCATTCTTCCGATGGGCATTGCGGGATTTTCTGCATGTCGGGCTTTGTCTCTGCGCAATGCTGAGCCTGATAAGGCTTCTCGTCCATGGGATAAGGCCCGGGATGGGTTTGTCATGGGAGAAGGATCTGGAATTCTGGTTAGTACGTATAATTGGAAAGCAAATGTTATCATATCCTCATTCAAAAAAATAAATAACCCACTCCTGTTTGTCCGGGTGGTGAAGAGCCAGCTGGACAAAGTCTAAGTCCCTAATTCGAATCCCTAATTAGCAAGCAGTGAAAGCCTTAAGTGTGTGTACAAATTGTACATACTACTGTGTACAAACGACGTAGCACGTTCTCATCGGAGTCCGGACATGATCTAGTCTAGGTTCAACGCGTAACAATTTCTACTAATAAGGATAAGTTTTTAGTTTTTTTACTTCTAAGATAACAATCATAATATCGTTCGCCTCTTCTTTTCTTAGAGCTTTCTCATTACCTTTTTATTGGTGAAAAGTTGTTTTTTTTTAACAAGAGTTACTAAGAGGCTTTATTTGGGACAACATTTATATATACTATTTTCTAAAGCAAACTTTTAATATAAAAATTTGTTTAATTAATTTTTTTAATATTAAAACATTACTTTACAGTACAATAAAAAAGTTATCCCAGATGAACCCTGAGTTTTTTTTTCTCACAACGACTTCACAATCAATTTATAAAACACTATGGTCATTCCAAACAGATTCTAATTAAGTTTTAATTATGGTGACTTATATTAATTAGATTTTCTTTGAGCTA